TTTTCCATATATATATATATATATATATCCAAGTTGATTGACAAAATATTTATTTTTTATGCATAACAATATTATTTTGGCCTATGAAATCGGCATTAGTAACTGTTAGCAAGGGTTGATATGCTCTAGTTTTTTGTTTAAACAAATTGTTACTATATTGCTATATGGCACAACATATGCACATTTATATGAAATCGGCGTCAGTAACTGTTGTCATGTTTAATTCACAAAAAAATACTTACAAAACCCAAATCTATATAATAATATTTAATTTAAAAAAAAATTAAAAAAAATGTTTGGATGTATATTGTGGAGTGTGTTTCCAACCATATAAAATTTTTCAAACTTTTCGATGTATTATTAATTAATAATATTTTATATACACTATTTATTTGACTCATTTAATTGTGTCATCATAAGAATGGAATAAAAGAAAAAAAATAATTTGACAAAATATTTATGAAAATAAATAATAGACATTAGTTGTTAATTAAAATTTGTTTATTATAATAATACATGAATATATATTTCTACCGAGAACATTTTTCTTTATGACTCTTGTAATGTATTATTCTTTTTCTTCTTGCATGCTCCCAAACAAGAATACACCACATAAATTACTCTAAGGCTATGAACATCTAACATGCAAAATCAATTATCAAAAACATGCAAAAAAAAATAGTTAACTCATTTACAAATAATAAGAATGTAACCAATATTTAATGTTAATGGTGTTGGTCACAACTACTAATACAATTCAAAGCAACATCTATGGACATTTTATGACATCTTACAACACAAGTAACAATACAATTAGATTAAAAAAAAAATTGATTTCCACAACAACAAAGCATTCTAAGGCACATTTGTAGATACACTTGAGTGTTCCAAACACATTGTTTAGTTCAATTTGTGAAGATGGAGAATTTACATAAGCTTGAGCAAATATTAGCATAATTAATCCTTATCTATATCTATATCTATATCTATATATATATATATATATATATAGATATAGATATATTACACAAATTAAAATATTAGTCACAAGTACAATCATAACCCCAATACTTTAAATCTTTTTTTCTTTTACATTTCACTCTTAAAAAAAAAGTCTTTACAATCTAATTCAATATTAAATACAACCCTACAAGTATTACACTTTGGTTGTAATGTTTCAAGTAAAATAAAGATCAATTTATAGATATAAAATAATACATGTAAAATAGTTTAAACTTTTCAACATTATTGTGTATTAGGATTTTTGAGAATTTTTTTGGCACATCAAGTGGATTTGATTTTTATCATTAATAAAATATCAACGTGTATTAAATATTATAGAACAATTATTTAATTAAATAAATATCTAAAATAAATTTGTTAGTTATCACATTATAGACATTATAGATGTGGAGTAGTTAAACACTTAGTGGGATTTCTTGTTGAATTTGAAAAATTAGTGGGATTCTTATTCCAACCTTATTTTTCCCATCTACAACAATTGAATTTGAAATTTTATTTAAAGAATTTGAGCCTTTTCATTCCAACCGGTGTAATTATAGTAATTAAATGTTTACTATCAATTATAACAAATATTAATATTGTAAACTAAGTATAGAAATAATATATATATATATATATATATATATATATATATATATATATATATAAGGCCGAATAAATATTCTATGAAGTGAAGAATATCAATCGCAATATTTTGTAGGATTCAAATTAAAAAAATCGTATTCCAAACATCGCTCAAATTTACTTTTAAAGTACATTCATTACACAAATATATTTTTTGTTTCTTATATTATTTATTAGATTCAATTTAGTTTTACTTTAATTAATTGAAATAATTTAGTCTCACATTTTAAAATATATCTCAATGTTTAATTTTTAGTCTCCTTCGTTTAAATACTTAATGAATGTAACACATGTCATATCATGTATCATAACAGCATGATATGCGTCATAACATGTGTCATGAAGCATGACACATATTATTCTTTAAGTATTTAAATGAAAGGGACAAAAAATTAAACATCGAGATACATTTTAAAAATGTGAGACTATTGATTCAAATAATTAAAATATGACTAAATTGATACTAATAAATAATATAAGAGGCGAAAAATATATTTTTGCTTAGATTCATCTAATATGTGAACAAAATATTTATTAAAATATTTATCTTTATACAAACACTTTTACCAAATATATACATATATATATATATATATATTCATGAAATTTAATTTCTATACTAATTCCAATAAATTTTTTTAGGGGAGGGGGGGTTAGAGTCCAAAATAAATGAAAATTATTTCTTTTTAACTTTTTAAAATAAACAATACTATTACGCCAAAAAAAATTATAATATCTTATGACTATAATTTTCTTAATAAAATAAAGTAATAATATATTATATCTTGATAAAAAGATTTATCACTTGATAATATATATATATATATATATATATATATA